AATTTAAGGAGTCCAAGAAGGATTTAAAAATCGTAGAGAAATACCTTTGTTAACTGCGGTAAAGCAGCAGAGGAGAAGCAATTTTAGCCGTTAGATTAGTTGCATTTGAAAAGATTAGAGTTGAATCTTTCATTTTCCTTATCTGTGGATCATTTCTTCAAATTCAGCAGTTTGGAATAAAATTTTCCTATGAACCAAATAATAGAAAATAAATGAATCTCTGAATGAAAATTTGTATTTAAGTCATTTTCCTTAAATCGTTGTTCCACGCGTTGTATCATCGAATGATGAAAATCATATAATATATCATCTTGAAATTCATTCATAAAAATAAAATATTTTCATGTGGTAACTAAAGAAAGACTGGAAGTAATTTCTAAGCGATAAAAAAGTGAAACGAAAAATTTTAATTTGTCTTCAAATTCCATTCTTTAGGAATAATTTTTTCAGAGTACAGAAGTGACTGTCAAAGAAAACAATTTTTCATATCTAATCTGTGTTATACCGTACATTTACTTTATATTGTATTAATTTTAATGCTTATTTGTTATTAATTTTGTCTTTTTGTCTTTTCATGTTTTTCTTTTCAATAAGTTTTATTTTTTATTAATTAATTGCTTGTCAAAAGAGCTGAAAACAACAATTTGTATTTTTCTTCCCTTTCACTTTTTTTTGCTTTTCAAATTTTGTTAAATTTTAGATTATTATCATTGCTTTTTACTGCTCTCAGCTATTTCCCTTTCAGTTTCCACTGTTTATCTTCAATTTCAGTTAAAGCCTAGCTTTTTCATTTTTTAATTTTTTAAAATTTATACATGGTTTATTATTGCTTTTTGTTTTTTTTTTTGAAAATTAAGTGTAGAAATTTCAAATCTTTATTGTTTCTCTGCTTTGATATTTAAATTAAGTTAATGTATAATTTGTTAAACATCAAAGTTGCGGTCATTCAAATTTAGCAAAAGAATATGTTTTAAATTCATTTCATTATAAAAATTATTTATTCAATCTCAGAGAACGAACAATCATATTTTAACGAATAAACTTCTTATTGTTAAAAATTTAAACAGCAGATACTTTTTAATTTTTTTTTTTGCTTTTGAAGGTAAAAAAGAGCAAATAGAACACTTGCGAAAGAATATCGAAGGTATGCTTACAACCGCGATACCGTCCTATCATTAATGATAGTACTCTTCAGATGAAAGTGTAGGACTAATCTGCCTTTTGTTACTCGAGCATTCGAGACTACTGCCGTTCCAATCCCACGTCTCCTCTACATCCCATAGCATCTCCAATTCGTTTAATCCCGTCTCCTTCTCAGAACTCTTGAACATTTTCTGTTTTTTTTTTTTTTTTTTTATAAAAATAAAATCTTTTTCAGTGTAAGCATCACAATGATAACGATTCATGAAAATTACCGAAACTTCTGTATCCGATTTGTCCAACAGTACTGCCGCGATGAGTATCGAAAACGTAACGTGAAGAACGGAATGAGCACACTTTTCATCGCTACGAATTTTTCTGGAAATAATATATGAATCAGAGATGGAACTACAAATTTAGGCACAAATATTTTAATAAATCAAAGTATAATTTTGATAAACTTTAAACTTACGATCTTTCTAACTTATCAAAGCAATATTGATAATTGAAATTTCTAAAATCAAACAGATAAAAGAAGTAAAGATGAAAACGAAATAAATTCGTTGAAATAAAATATGAATTTTCAGCTGAATTTCGTCTCTCTCTTTTGAATAATCTTTACTCTATGCAAATACCATAATTTTTTGCGCGATGATATTGATTCAGCAAATAATTGCATATTTTTGCCATAACTCCAAAAAATTATTTTAGGCAATGAATTTTGTTAAATTTCCAACAAGAGATTTTTTTTTTCAGACTGTCTGATATACCTTTAATTGTTTGGCTCAATACCATTGACTACGAAAATATTACATAAATTTGTCAAAATAAACGAAAAATTAAGTATATCAATCAAAATTTCATCAAACTTTCGATTCATTCTTTATTGAATGACTTAAATTTAAAAGTCATCTAATTTAAATGTCACTGATTTTAACACAGTTACGAAAGAGTATTTGCGACTTCTAAGTTGTAAATCAATGCGTTACTTAAATTTATGCAAATATAAATCATTTTTATGTTCAATTAATGAATTTGTATAATAAAATTTTCGATTGTAAATGATAAATGCGATCATCATTTGCAAATTTGCATATTTCCCTTCCGTCTATCTGTTTGTCCATAATTAGTTTTTCATATTATTTTTTGGGAGTATCTGTGTTATTTTACTAAATTGTACGATTATTATTTATGTCAAACATGATGTCAACATCCGGCGGTATTGTTTGTCTAAAAGTGAATTTCATTCATTTATGAAATTCATTTTAACACAAAAGGTTACCATATCTGTTCAGGATAATGTCATAGTGGGAAATATTTAGAATAATAATGTAATTTTCCTGCCGGATACTGATATCATTCATTATAATGTAATAATTGCAGAATTTCGTAAAATTGAAACTTAAAAAAAAGCGGTGACGTGCGGAATGTGTTTCATCACTGCGTGACGTTTTCAAATTAATACTCCAATAAACGACGAGGTTATTAATTTAATATAAAATGTTTAGAATGAAAACAAAGTTCAGTGATCATCCAAAATGTGGCACTGATTTTCAAAAATTTCAGCAAATTTCGCTAATTTAACGCTATTTGCTTGCTATTTGCATTACATTAGCAGAAATGAAAACCGAATGAATTCATTGAATGCACAGTGAAATATAAAATAATCTGCTAACTCCTCAAAGATTACAATGATTTCATTCTCATTTCAACTCAACAATTAATTCTTGCTTTTGGATGAGCCAGTAAAATTTAATCTAATTAAAAATTTAAATTAATGAGTTTTGTTTGATAATTTCACTAAGATTTCTGGTTCTCTGCTTGTTGGAGCGCATTTTTTTTTAAATCTGTTTATTCAACAAATTGTATTCGGTCATAGTGATTAGAATGTTAGTTAAGAGGCAAAAATGAAGGATAATTTTATATTTCATTATTGATAAATCACTTTAACAAATAAAAGAACTGACATGAAAATTAAAAATTCGAGTTTTCGACACGTTTTCAACAATTTTCATACTAATAAATGGATAAGTTTTGTTAAAGTATGAGAAACAAAAAAGAATTAAATTAATAGAATTTCAATATAAATTTTGATAATCTTGAAACGTTGAATTGTAGCATCTTTCTTTTTCAACTTTATTTGATTTCTGATTTCAAAATTTGAAAAATAAAATTATTAATAGTATTCCAACAAAAATATCAATCAGTCATTCAAATGTATCACAACATTAACCCTGAAAATTTTACATACTTTTTTCTTTTTTTAAATTATAGTCCAGAAAAAAAGTATCAATCTGAGCTAAATAAAAATTTGAATAAATTGTAAATTGCTAAATTATAATTGGCCGAGTAAGACGAAAGGAGATTTTTAATTTTAAACTTCACTATTGCGCATTACAATTCTCAGATATCCTCGAAAGTACCGAAAGAAGAAAAAAATATTTTGGATCGTATTCAATGAATGATGGACTTGAATATTGATTTCATTATTAAATTCTAACTCATTTCTTACCGCTATCGGAAATTTGAAATAATGTTAAAAATATTGAAATGATTAAAATAACACCGTATTACTGATATTTTGTCACAAATTTTTCGTGTCAAATGATCAAAATATGATCCATTGTTCACTATTGCTAATGATCAATATTGGTTAATTGTAATCTTTTGCTTATCATTAAACTGTCTTTATCAGATAATTGATTATTTAATTGTCCAAATTTGAAACTTTAAAAAGAAAAACCATTTAGCGTCTCATTTTATTACTTCATTTCATTATCATTATCAAATTTTACAAAATCGATATCTTAACCCAATCATTCTCAAATTATCCTTCCCGATCAATCGGTAAAGAAGGATACGAATAGCAAAATGATCAATTCAACTAACTGTAATTCTCGACAATCATATTATAACATCAACAATGAATAAATCTTTCCAGCAGGAAATAAAAATATTCAGCATGCAATTTGATTTATACCTTTCTCTCAAATTTTTACAAAAAAAAAAACAGTTCATAACAACCTATTCAGCGAGTATTTTGTCGGTGTTTTCCTTTTTTTCTTTTCATTTTTGCAGTTTTTTTTTCGCCTCTCTTTTGTCTTTTACTTTTAAATCGACTTTTAAAAATATTTTCGCAAATGCTGAAATTTTAATTTAATTATCACAATCAATTGTGTTTGAAATGGAAATTTTAATGGAGAAAAAAAAAGTTTGCCATAATGAAAAGGTTAAAAGAGATAAAGATTCCATAGCAGAGATAAGAGATTAAAAGCAAAGTTATATCATATCCTGAAAATATGCAAATCGGTATAATTAAAGCGATACTTATCATTTCTTTTGATATTTAAATATGAAACTTGATAGTTTTAATATTTAAACATTATCAGTATGAAATTTAAGATTTTTTTCCTTCTTTTTTTTTTCACAACAATACTTTTACACACAAAAGAGCAAAACTTCATTGTGATTGAATGATAATAATTAGCTATAAATTTTGACTGCTAATTAAATCAAGATTTGTGTTAATTACTTTATTATTCATTCACTTCGTTCTCAGTCTCTTAACTTAAAACAATTACTAATTAAATCAAAAATTTTTTTTAGGAAAAAAATTGCATATCACATATTGGACAATCTTTAGAGATTTATGCTTTTGTTGATTAATTACAATTATTCATTTAATATTTATTGATCAATTAATCAATTCAAGAAATGCGCATGTGACATGAATGTTTGAGGAATTTAAAAAAAATTTTTTTTTTTTTAAATTGGCTGAAATTTGGGTGAAAAGAAGGAGGAAAAAAACGGGTTTATAAGAGAAGGAAGGAGCATTTTTCAATACATCTCAGGAGTTCCTCAATCAATCAATAAGTCATTTCATATCACACCACCAACAGTGCACTTTCTGACACAGACATACACACATACAGACACATACAAACATACATATACAGACAGACAGACACACAGACACATGTATATATATATACCTTATGTACACACATATAGTCATGTACGACGCAGCTATGCAAACATAAACTTTCTAAGTCTTCTTTTTCTTCTTTTTAATCTAAAATTTTTAAATTTCTATTATTTTGAAATTTTCGAAGTTTTACCTTTCTAATTTAAATGTTTTAGGGTTTGGAATTTTTTCAAAGTTTAATTTTATTTAAGATTTTTTTTTCGTTCAATATCAATCATTTTCAGTAATCGCATTCTAAAAACATTTAATTTCATTCGAGAAAAAATAAATAAATAAATGAGAAGAATTATCGATCAATTTCATTCATGCATTTTATTTTTCTTTTTGTTATTTTTATTTTCATTCTTTTCTTT